TCTAGAGGGTCTGATGAATCTCAGATTTCTTGTAACAGTTTCAGAGGTACTTTTTTACATAAGGTAGGATGATCCAATTCTCGGTTTCTCAAGTTTATTCGCGAGACTCATAGGACCAGTGAAATGTCACTAGGTCCTAGCCAAATCATTCAGCTGGCAAGTCAATGAATGTCAAGCAGTTTACGAGTTCTCATTAAAGTCAGGGGAAACTAACGTGCATAAATCTATTTCGTGTGATATTTAAAACGGATGATTGTATATTCTCCTCAATCAGTAAAATGTATTGTTTTCATCGCCATTATGCATCAAGAGTTATTTCCCAAGTGTAATTTTGCATCTATGTTTTATAAAGTATATTGGCTTTTATTTTTATTGTTTTATGCACGTTTCGTCATAGTAGTCCTAGGTTCACCAATTTCCAGTTATCAGCTTTTTTTCGGTACGTGTCTGTTTTCTTTTGGAAATCTCTTCTAGATGACTGGACAGCGTAAAAAGAGCATCTTGGACTGTCGATACACTGATGAAAGTTGTTTGCAGTATGACAAGTGCAAACGGGGATACCACGAAAATTTTAAAAACCGTCTCATTTCTCATACAACAGTGTCACTGATAAGTTCTGCAGAGAAATTTCTAGATAATGAGACGGTGTGACCAGTAGGTTAGTATTGGTTATGCGCATGAACGAAATACATTTTGTAGCCACCAAGTGAACAAAAGTCAGTCATGGGAGCTGGATAACACTGCTTTTCACTATCATTATCGATTAAAACCGATAGATATTCAATTTTAAATGTAATATTTATATTTGTATGGGGGTTACCTATGGTTTTACTGAAAGTTCTACCGTTTCGATCACTAAAGATCATGAATACAGCATATAAGAAACATCGCATAAATTATTTCAACATTACATTAACATCTAACTATCTGAAAAGTTATTATTTCCACCGTATTCAAACTTTTAACCGGTAGATGTGTGATGTTATTTGCTAGCGTAGAACTTTCGGTATCCGTTAACCAGAAAATTCATTCTTTGAGAAGCATGTGTTGATCAGTGCTAAAGTACCAATCTTACGTTTAATTCGTCTTTAAACACTTTGTTATCAGTTGAAACTAAGACAGGAGCAAATAAAGGTAATTTAAATTTCATAGTCAATTTAGTTAACTTATCATTTTACAAATGATATATATATATATATATATATATTACATTTATTCACTCTTAGTTGACTTCATTAAAATGTACTGATTAAACCAAACACTTAGAATAGTATGTACTTTATTGTTGTTAGTCTCAAATGTAGGGCCATTGCCACCATCGCATGAGTATGGTAACGTACTCACGTGCACCGATGATTTCATAAGATGGCACGAAGCTATTCCCACCACTTCCATTACGGCGGAAACAGTCACTCAACGCTTCATAGAACGACAGATAGCGTTGCATGTTTGTCCCTCGACTGTCACAACTGACCGAGGACAACAGTTCAAGTCCGAACTATTCCTCACGCTAGCCCAGCTGCTTGGTGCGGAGCGCATTCGCACTACCGACTACCACTCAGCTTCAAATAGCTTGGTTGAACGGTTTCATCGCCAACTAAAAAGTGCTCTTCTAGCACACGAAAACAACAATTGATATGAGTCGATTTGGTACGCAAACTTTTTCAGCAGCCTTATAAGGGACCTATTCACGTGATTTCTCGTCATGAAAAGACCTTTAAGGTTGCTCGACATGGCCGCGTCGAGATCATCAGCATTGATCGTCTCAAGCCAGCACACGTCGATGACAGTGCCCTACTTGCTAATCCAAGACCCAATGCTGGACCTATCAAACCTACTAGGTGCATCCCTATATCTACTTTGAACATCAGAGACCTCATTCTCATGTCCTAGTCAACAACACGCGTCATCTGCATTATCTACGGATGAGACTCCGGTCTCACATCCAGATCAGCAGACAACGTCGCCCTTGAATTCGGATGAGATTGCTGGCTCACGAGGTATGCACGAGACTACCGTCTCGTGTTCCGGTCACCGCCTGGGCCTACCTGTACATTTTGTCGAATAACCACCCAGGCAACAACATATACGTGATAGGACACTACACTCATACTATGTGTATGCTACACATTTCTCCTTTTCTTTCATTTTGTATCCTTAGCCTATGTCTATGACCATCACCCTGTTAGTACCGTCGACTTCACTCAATCTTGGCGAAAGCTGGCCTGATGATCCACGCTCTTTTCAATGCACTCAGTCGATGTTCTGGTTCCGGATGTATCAGGCTATATATAGTTTCGAACTTGGTCGATCTGGTTCCATCCTACGTTTGCAGCTTTTCTGGTACGAATACCTACGAGCGCAATTTTCAGACTGGATACGAGTCACGCTGGTGTGTCCCGCCAACCCGAACAACAAACCAGGCACGTTACTACTGATATAGTTCAACGTAAAAGACATTCGGTGACAGCTCGAGTTTCATTGGTCGCTTCCTGTCGGTCAACCCATCCGTCCTACAATCGCCCGTTAGCCGACCAGCCGCCCTCCTCACGAAACCCCCATGTGTCGAATGTGTAAAGCCTTTCTAGGAGAGGCCAATGTAGTGGCATACTTTTACGAAGATAACGAAGATAAATAACACACATTTATTATTACAGAGGCAAGAGTATCTAGAAATCGAAATGCGTGGTGTAATCAGAGAATAATAACAACCAGAAAAATTGTAAGAAAACAATCAAAAACCTGCCTTCTTTGCAACCGGATATCTGAAGCTTGCGTGTGCATATTGACCAGTTTTCATCAGCATACATAATATTCCATGGTACGTTTGTTTTAGTGCATATTAAAGTAATTTGCACTGATATAAGCTTTTGAATATTAGTTAGTAGTATAGTATGACAGTCCCATGTCACTATAAAGGAGGAAGGTTGGACTTAAGGTTACTTGGAGTAAGTGAAACCCATAGGACACAAGTTGAACAGAAAAGATTAGCTTCTGGAGATATACTGTTTTACTACAGCCTCGAAGAAGAAAATGCCTCACACACAAATAGTTTCACTGATGCTGTTCGAGGAAGCATAAAAGGCAGTTCTAGGGTGTGCATCTGATGGACTCACAATCACCATATCATCCTTTAAGACAAAGAAGGCTGGGATTACGACGAATGTCACTTACTGGAAAGCTACCATCAACAATCACAATGAAGACGATGGAGACCAATTTTATGGGCGGCTGCAGTCAGTTATCGAGAGAAGCCCAGCGATGGATTTGACTAATCTGGTGGGAGACTCAAGCACCAAGGTTGGAATCGGCAACACTAGATATAAAAGCATCGTGAGGAGACATGGTCTCGGAGGAAGGAACAAAAGCAGTACGATTTTCCCAAAACAAACCGCCTTCCACAAAAGCATACACAAATGTATAAGGGTTTTACCAGACCACACCACAAAGAATTAAATCAATCAGAAGGATCACGCAAAATGTGAGGACAAAGAAAGGACCTGAACTAGCATCAGATCAGGATGTAACTGAAGCTAAGTAAGCATTGAACAACTAGACAAACAGCATCTTAAAATTTAATAAAACGTTACTTTGGGAAACTGACAAACTCAACGAATTCAAGATAGCTCTCATTAATCAGTTACAAGACTCACGCAAAGAAGAGGAAACTATCATGGGAACAACTTGAAAGGAATAAGGGAAGCAATAACTTCGAAATATCAAGAGGTTCTGAGCATAAAAAGGCACCATCATACGAAACGGATCACTGTTGATGGCATTTACGCCGACAAAGAAATGAAGAATAGGGAGAAAACAGAGCATAAACTTTGAAGGCTGTAGCCTTAAACATAAGCACAATATCAACCACAGCCGTGACGGTCAATTTACTCCCCTGCTTTTACCGCGCAGTGCATACTCTTACCTCTTTTATAACTGATTCCTAAAATCTAAGCCACAAACATTATGACCTCTGGGTCTTTCGAAATATCGATAGAAGAGTATCACTTTTCTCAAGATATTCCTTCAAGTGCATACGGGCACTTTCCACAGGATTGTTTGTATGACCGCCCAGGATTAGGAGATTTGGGTGATAACAGTGAGTCCACGCAGAGTCTTGGTCTGTCCAGTGATCTTTCATACTTACAAATCTCGTGGAAAACGCATACTCAAGCATTCGTATTTCTGAGTAAACCTGACTGTGATGGATTGTGGAAAGCAAAGTATAAATGTCAGATCGCCTGGTTTTTACAGGATGTTCCAAGCGTTTGCGAACACTAGTGTGCCGAAACTACAGCAAATATTTTGTATACTTGACGCTTATCTCCTCCAATAATGCTCATGACATGAAACGAACCACGTATTATGTTGACATGACTGTGAGTGAAATGAGCATCAGAAGTTCTAGACACTAAAAAGTCGACAATAAAGATGAGCGTATCACATGTACCACATATCATATCTTTGAAGTATCCCAATATTTCCGTGATGTTCATGTTTACAGAGAACACGCATGTTGGTGTGCCTACCCAACTTTACTGCTGCAGTAAGTTAAGTCAACAAATATTGCCTCCAAACAAGCGCATTAGTTAGCTATTTTCTCACGGAGACTGTACTACTGTCCTGAAACAAACGTTTTCATTCAAATCACGGGACATACAAACAACCATATGCAATCTGTCTAGAGTTAGACAGTCGGTTGACTAGACCTCCATTCATTGGACACTACCAAACACCTGGAACTGTACCGAAAGAACCAGAAACGAGTGCACAGAAATCAATTGGTTTATACTAGTTCGTGAAAAGGGTATCGGATTGTATATTGAATATTGAAATTATCCCAACTGGTAAGTCGCCACAACCGTATGATACCAATAAATATTCGGCCTTTATCATGCATCATTATGATGTAGTCACTTTTGTGACTAGAAGGATGGATTCTAATGGACATAGCGCTGTCTAACCAAACTGGAATTTGAAACCGTTTTGATTCACCCGCTCCTCGAAAGTCTTTATGTGACGCACCAATCGTCTCATTGAATGACAGTTTGACCTCCAAGTGCTCAGCAACCTCCATTACTGGACGATGCCACTAGATTGTTTCCTTTTTGCCGAGTCCACTTTGTTATTGGGTTGAAATTGTGAAAATCTCACTGAATGTCGTATAGTCTAAAGTTATGCAGAATGCTCCTTTCCTAGTTAGTCGCTTCATATTAAATCCCACCACGAACCTGCTTCGACTCTGTTCCAACTTGCCTAGCAAACATTTGTTTGCTGTGTCTTACTCAGTCCACAAACTTCCGAAATCAAGTCAAATTAGCATCGATTCGTTGAGCAAATGCTTTATCTCATCAGGTTCTAAAGGTGTTTCCGACTCTTCGGCTGAAAAGGTAAACGCTAAAGGTAATGGTAAATTTATAAAAACTAGTTACTTAGTGGTCCCGAAAATCAAAACAACCTTCTCGTATGACGATTCTGTCAAGTCTGTAAAATATATCACACCACTCAGAGCATTACGAGAATATATGCTAACAAAGCAGTAAAATTTATACATGACCCAAATTTTGTTGTTACTTTAAGGGATTTAGATCAGCTACCACGTTACTACAGTCGAAGTCCATATGGAAATGAAACCAAAACACTTGTTTTCCTTCGATCAGATGTGGAACAAATGTAATTTATTCACATATCTAATTTTCATTCGAAGGGCTTACGCAAAGCACGGAGGCCATGATGATTTTGAGTTACGAAGAAAGCTCATGAAGGATATGGAGCGAAGAACCAAAACAGGTAAATACGTGGTTGATTTTCATGATCTTTCAGAGCTCTTTAACTTAAAAAAGGCCTTAAAATACTTTAAGAGCTCAGTAGAAGCTAAGGCAACTGGGACCTCGGTAAGTCACCTCGTCACCCTATTATTTGGTGTAGCAAATACAGTTTTAGTATGGAAAGGACAAGAGATTGGGTGGCCTGGGTTGGTCCTAGCAATTTCGACCTCTCAGTTGGTCCGGCTTTCTCTTGAACGCGTCGACAAATGGAGCTTTAGTCACGTGATAAGTTAACGAGTTCCATTTGTTGGCGACTCGATGGGAAGGTCGGTAGTCAGCTGAAAAGTTATTTGCTCTGGGCCTGTGAACGTCTTTAGAGTGTCCTCGTAAATTGCTTCGAAGCGCAAGAAAAATTAAAGCGTGCCATGTGCAATTTTTAACTAAATTCAAAAACTACGTCAGCTCTGGTCCTTCAATGGGTTAAAGAAAATAGGTTTGACTAAACCAGTTTCTCTTCGTATGGTAGCTTTACGATTCCGGGAATCAACCTAGTCGCGATTTTATCAACCCTCTTAAACAACTCATTTTAAGGTAGGAAATGGCTGCTCATGTGCAATACTCAAGTTTATGACGAACAAATAATGCATAGAGTCGAAAATGTCTCAGCGTAAACACGGCAAAAGACTGCGTGTAAACCATAGGGTTCTAAAATCTTTCGTGGCTATCGCACGGCAATGTGCAGTGAATTTCAAGTGTTGACTAATGATGACTACTAGGTTGTTGTGTGTCTGTAACAAGTATCTCAGTGTTATTCGCCGTGTATGTATCTGTACCTTGGCTACCAATATGCTTCGTAATGCAGTTGGTGTTCCTTGACAACTGCCAAATTGTTAACCATTCAGATACTTTCTGTAGGTTATTTTGAAGCTGTAGACTACCACCCTCATTTTCCAAGGCTCACCATACCTTGACGTCGTCAGGAAACTCGATGAAAATATGAGACTAGGAAGGCCATTTATATACAGGAGGAATAGCAGTGGCCCCAAAACTGTACCCTGAGGCACCTTGCTAAGCACAGTTTCCTAGCTAGACAACTCTGGCGTCCGAACTAGAAAATCTAATCCACGCAGGTTGTTTTTTCCCCACGATCCTGATATCACTTGGCCTGGACAAAATCCTTTCTTAAATTAGTGGAAGCTACGTCTATAGTTAGCTTCCGGTCTTTGAGAGCGCACCAACTCTGATAGGCTACTGGTTAGTTTGTGAGATGTGAATAATCTATTTTAAAGGTGTGCTGCTTCTCAGAACGAATCTGGTTTCCGTTTATGTGCTTAAAAAGCTCTTTACTAATAGTCTTCTAAAATTTCCACTACCACGCTAGCTATGCTCACAAGTAGATAGTTCTCAGGTTTGTCTCGTACCTGTTATGTTGACGGGACTTACTATGGCCCTTCCCAGTCTTCTGGTTAAAGATAGATTAAAACATACTTCAAGGATTTGAAATGAAATTTATTAGGTCCTTGAGTAATCTAGAATTCATTTCTTCGACTCCCATAGATCTATCTGAAACAGTCTGCTAAAAGTTACATACTTTTAGTGATATCAGTTACCATTTTTAATGTAGAAACAGGTGAGTTCTAATTTGTATCGTAAACTTACCATCTTTTGTCAACTTTTTAGTTGAAGAATATTATTTACTCATATTACTAAACTTTGTATCTGTTTCTTAAGCCTTGACTTCCAACTTGGTTTTAATCTATCAGGTCTGTATAACTCTTCAAGTAGAAAATCTCCTTGGCTCTGTTCCAATGATAACGCCATTGTCATTTCAGATTAAATGGTGTTTCCGAATACTTAATATGTTTTCTGCTACAGGTTTTTATAGATAAACGGAAAAGTCTGTTTACATCGGGTCCTGGTCGTGTTGTTCTGTTTGCAATAGCAATGTGAGTACTTTGACATTTGTAAAACTACCTTAATTCTAGCTCTAGCGACTATAATGATGTGATCGATTTTAAATGAATCTTTTTAGTGACCCATTAAAAACTTCCCTATCTTAGAACACGCTTGTTACGTATTAAGTGCGCTATGAGTTGAAGCTGTAGATTTTAGTATTTGGGAGTATAAAACGTACAGTTAGTGATTTTCGTTAACAATATCTGCCTATTTTTCAACTAACTAGTTGGTTACTCAAGTTAGAAACATGCGTTAGTCAAAGTTCTGGAAATCGGCTGCACATTATAATATCCTCACGATATCATCATATTGGTGTCTTCACTCATCTTTGGAGTCTCACCAATCACGATGGCCTCTTGTTTGACATAATCTCGGCACTTACCTAGAGAGCTCGACTGGCTTTTGCCAACTTGCATCACCCCGACCGTAGCTGGCAGGTCGATTGAGAACGGCAAGACTAAAAGCAGCAACCTAAGATCTGAGGGCGAAGTCGTACTTCTGACTGTAAAGAAGTGTGCCAGCAGTAAAGTGTTTACCTCGGACAACCAGCATCTACAGCGATGTTGCTTTCCCACAACAAAAGGAAGAGGTTGAAAAAGGTCAACCCTAACAATGTCACGCTATCTTATCCCGCGGATTTCTGTCTCCGGTGATAAGGCCTTTTGAAGATCGAAGCTAAAACTCGGGCTCTGCTGTCACGCTCTTAGATTGCTAAGACTAACTCGAATCCAGCTTCTTTTTCAGGTTCCTCAAGAAACACTCACGGTGTGAGCACCTGGGAAGTGACGTCCAACCTCATATCCATAACAGCACACGAAACCAAGTTAGTCACAATCAAATCCTTCCCACATCTCTTAATAACTTGCCTTACTGACTAAGCCTTCTCACATTCGTTTATCACCTGGCGCCTCTAATGCAGACGATTTAAGTGCACAAAACGTTATTCCTGGTCTCCAGAAATCCCGTTCTAAACTACGTGATGGGGCTGTTAATATCTGGACATTGTTCCAAATGGGACAACAGGCTTCTTTAGCAAGGACTTTGAAGTCCCGCGGTATTGATGTATACTGTGTCTCCTAAGCGCGCGTACAGGATCCGAGTAGTCATTCATTTGACCTCACATTGTCAAGATATAAGGCCGTAGCAACTTATGCTTCGTGTATCTGAAGCCCAACTGTTGCTTCTCGAGGCCTCGCTGTTGTAGGTATAGCATTTATCCCTAAAGCAGAACCAACTCCCTTAGACTGGATTCCAGCAGGTGGTCGCTTATGCGCTGTCCGACCAAACAAGACGATAAGAACTCGGAAAGATAGGGACGCTTGTTGTTGCCTTTTCTTTGTCTCCGCTTACGCTCCCACTGATTGCGCCTCGATAGAGGTAAAAGATGTGTTTAAGGAGCTCCTCCAAAAGGTTAGGCGCTCTGATGTAGTAATAGCGGCTGGTGACTTTAATGCTCAAGTAGGCTAAGCGTAAAGGAAAGACAAGACACCTGAATGGATCTTGTGGTATCGTGCCTCAAAGATCAGATAATGGCGACCGCCTGCCGCAGCTATTGTCAGATAACCGCCTGTACCTGGCAAATACCAACTGATTGTCCCAATCTATATAAAATGATGAAAGTCATCTTGTAACAATGACAGAAGAATCAGCTTGAGTAATATAGTGTTTAATATATTCCACTCAATAATCATAATTAGGGCCCGTGAAGAGCAGATTCGAGATCAGGTTTGTTTCAGGCCTGGACGTTGATGTATAGACCACATATTCATACTTTGTCAGATCCTAAAATACAGACACACATTCAGACATCCTACTATGGTTATATTTCTAGATCTTAAAACGGCGTTTGACTCTGTTGGTCGTGAGGTTCTGCGGCAGTGTTTGTCGTCGAAAGGTGTACTAGAGAAGCACATTCATCTCACACAGGCTCTCAAATCGAACACTAATGGCTGAGGGGTCCGCTAGACGAAAGTCTTCGATGATTAGAGACCTTGAACGACATGGCTCAAAATCGTTTGTAATGACGCAGGGGCATCCACTCTTTGTGTTCTCTCAAATGCTAACTTTCTGACTTCCTCATCATCTCTATCTATCTCTTTCTAAATTTATCTCACTAAATCATACTTCTCGAATCATATCTTCGAACCCTAATCTTCTCCATTACTGCTAATACTTCTACTATCGTTTACCACTATGTGATTTGAACTGAAAGTTGCACCTGAACTAGTGATGGACAGTGAAGTAGTTGAGCGTGTTGACCGCTTCACTTATCTTGGTAGTCCCCCGTCAGTTCTGATGGCCTGGTGTCTGACGAGATCTCGGCACATACAGAAAGCTCGACTGGCTTTTGCCAACCTGCCTCACTTATGGCGTAGGTGAGATATTCATCTACTAACCGAAAATGGGTCCACGTCTTAGTAGTTCGCCCTGTCCTATTTGAGTGTGAAACAAGGCCAGTCAGATTAGATATTCGTTACTTACTTTACTTTACTTACGCCTGTTACTCCCAATGGAGCATAGGCCGCTCACCAGTTTTCTCCAACGAACTCTGTCCTGGGCTTCCCTCTCCAGTTCTGTCCAATGTTTGTTCATTCCTCTCATATCTTTCTCTATTTCTCGGCGTAGTGTGTTCCTTGGCCTTCCTCTTTTCCTTTTGCCTTGAGGGTTCCATGTGAGGGCTTGTCTCGTGACGCAGTTAGGTGCTTTTCGTAGTGTATGTCCTATCCACTTCCACCGCTTCTTCCTGATTTCCTCCTCTACTGGAATCTGACTTGTTCTCTCCCACAGTTCGTTGTTGCTGATGGTGTCTGGCCAACGAATCTGAAGTATTTTGCGTAGACAGCTGTTAATAAACACTTGTATCTTCTGAATGATGGCTTTGGTAGTTCTCCATGTTTCCGCTCCATACAGTAGAACTGTCTTGACATTTGTATTGAAAATCGTGATTTTGGTGTTGATTGATATTTGTTTGGAGTTCCAGATATTTTTCAACTGTAGAAATGCAGCCCTCGCTTTGCCAATCCGCGCCCTCACATCTGCGTCCGATCCACCTTTCTCGTCGATGATGCTGCCCAGATATGTAAAGTTGTTAACGTCCTCGAAAGCATCTCCATCAAGAGTGATTTGGTTGGTGCATGTTGTGTTGCATCAGAGAACTTTGCTTTTTCCTTTATTTATGTTGAGACCTACTGCTGCAGAAGCTGCTGCTACACTGGTCGTCTTCTCTTGCATTCGTTGTTGAGTGTGCGATAGAAGAACCAAGTCATCTGCGAAGTCCAGATCGTCCAGCTGCGTCCTAACTGTCCAGTTGATACCGTGCTTCCCTCCAGACGTCGACGTCTTCATAATCCAGTCGATGACCAGGAGAAAGAGAAAGGGTGAGAGTAAGCAACCTTGCCTGACACCGGTCTTCACCTCAAAAGAGTCTGTCAGCTGACCTCCGTGCACGATTTTGCATTTGAATCCATCATAAGAATTCCGTATGATGTTGACTATTTTCTCAGGCACACCGTAGTGTCGAAGAAGCCTCCACAGTGTTTTCCTATTCACGCTATCAAATGCTTTCTCGTAGTCGATGAAGTTGTTGTAGAGTGGTGAGTTCCATTCAATTGATTGTTCCACAATAATCCGTAATGTAGCAATTTGGTCAGCACATGATCGATCCTTACGAAATCCGGCCTGTTGATCTCGAAGTTGGGCGTCTACGAAGTCCTTCATTCTGTTTAACAATACTCTGTTGAAGACTTTGCCTGGTATTGAAAGAAGAGTGATGCCTCTGTAGTTCTCACACTTGCTGAGATCGCCTTTCTTTGGTATTTTGATCAGGTACCCATCTTTCCAATCTGATGGTACTTGTTCCTCATCCCAAATCTTTTTGAAGAGGATGTGAAATATTTTTGCAGTTGCTTCCACATCTGCTTTCATTGCCTCTGCTGGAATGTCTGGTCCTGCTGCTTTGCCGCTCTTGATTTGTCTGATGGCCATACTGATCTCCTCAATCGTAGGTGCGCCAATATTAATTGGGAGGTCCTTGGATGCTGCTTCGATGTTGGGTGGGTTCAGTGGAGCTGGTTGATTCAATAGTTCCTTAAAGTACTCTACCCACCTATTTCGCTGTTCGTCAGTGTTGCTGATTATTTTCCCTTCCTTGCTTTTCACTGGTCGTTCTGGTTTACGATAGTTCCCGGCGAGCTTCTTTGTTGTTTCGTACAATTTTCTCATGTTTCCTTCTCTTGCAGCCTTTTCCGCCGTCATTGCTAGATCTTCCACATATTTTCGTTTGTCAGCTCTTCTTCACTTCCCTGTTTGCTTCCGTGTATTCAGCTTGTGCCTTAACTTTTTCTGCTCTTGTTCGGCTGACATTAATTGCTGCCTTCTTGTTCCTCCTTTCTTCAACTTTTGCAAGAGTATCAACAGAGATCCATTCCTTTTGATGGTGCTTCTTGCGACCAAGGACCTCCTGACATGTTGAAGTGATTGCCTCTTTAATCCCTTTCCAATTGTTCTCCAATGTTGCTTCCTCTCCATTGTGTAGATCCTGAAAGGCCTGGAACCTATTGGTGAGGGTACCTTGAATTCGTTGAGTTTTACAGTATCCCTAAGAAAGGCCGTATTAAACTTCTGTGATGTTGTCTGCCCCGTTGTCCAGTGCTTCTTTAGTTTCAGTTTCATTTTGGCGATCAGCAAGTGGTGATCTGAAGCTATATCAGCTCCTCTCCTGGTTCTCACATCCTCCATGGTCCTTCTGAACTTTTTGTTGATGCAGATATGGTCAATTTGGTTTTGAGTAGTGTGATCCGGTGAAATCCATGTAGCTTTGTGTATGCGTTTGTGCGGGAATATTGTGCCACCGATGACCAGTTTGTTGAAGGCACATAGGTTTGCAAATCTCTCACCATTTTCGTTTCTTTCTCCCAGTCCATGTCGTCCCATGATGTCTTCATATCCAGTGTTGTCCATTCCAACCTTGGCATTCAGGTCTCCCATAAGAATCGTCAAATCCTTTGGTGAACATTTTTCGACGATTGACTGCAGCCTTTCGTAGAATTGATCTTTAACGTCGTCATTGTAGTCATTGGTAGGTGCATAACATTGGATGACGTTCATTGTAATATCCTCTTTCTTTTATTTTGAAGGATGCTTTGATGATCCTCGGTCCATGAGATTCGCATCCTATCAGTGCCTTTTGTGCATGTTTGCACAGCATCAGTGCAACTCCTTGTGTATGTGAAGCGTTTTCCTCTTCATGACCAGAGTATAACAGCAGTTCCCCTGAAGCTAGTCTCAGTTGTCCTACCTGTGTCCAATGCGTTTCACTGATGCCGAGCACCTCGAGGTTGTATCTTTTCATTTCTGCAGCAACTTGAAATAGTCTTCCAGTCTCCCACAATGTACGAACGTTCCATGTACCTAAAAAAATGATTGCTCTGGTTGTCAGAAGAGGCATCGGCCCCGTGACTTCCGAGGGAACTCGGCTTTCATCACGAGACGTCATAATTCTTCTTCCAACTCCCAGGGCAGAGTTAAAATGGTTTGAATTATTTTTTCTGGTTAGCGTTTTTTTGGCAAGTGAGATTTCAACGGAATGGGGTCGCCAACCCCATGTCCAACCCTCCTCCTTTATCCGGGCTTCGGACCGGCAGTAGCCCCTAAGGTTCTACTGGCGGAGTTATTAGATATTCGTAGGTTACTATTATTCGATCACAGGTGTCGTATTTTTAATGGTCACCGAGTGAGCAATGCTGGTGTTAGGAAAAGGTTACCCGGTAAGGATGGCATATCAATAAATGAAGTAGTGAATCTTCACCAGTGTAGGTGGTTAAGACGTGTTACGTATGCCCAACCACCGTCCGCTTCAACGAGCGATGCTGTCTAATGTAAGGGTAGGCTGGAAGTAAGCCATTGGCGGCTAAACCAGAACATGGCATAGATCCATGAAGTTGCTGACAGCTGGACTGAGCCATGTTGGTAGGTGTAGACTAGCTAGTTGGGGTCCGCGCGACAATAGTAACTGATGGTTAGAAACTTTGAATGACATGACTCAAATTCATTTTTTCTCTGTCTTTTCAAATTTCATCAGAATCCTTCCTGGCCTTTTCTTCTCCTTAAATTTGTTTCACTAAGATATGCTTCTCGAATGATGCCTTCGAACACTAATCATTTCGATTATCAATAATATTGCTACGAATTCTACTATGAAGGGATTGGAACTGACAATTCCATCTCTCTGTGCTAACGTGGTATAACAACTTGAACCGCTGTATTTACTTACGAAGTTCCATGATCTAACTGACTGACTAATACTGGTGTCTAAAGCAAAAATGGAGCGAAAGTTTCAAAGTCATTAAAATGGAATTTAAGAATTTTTCATACAGCCCATGGTTATTGTATCTAGTCGTTTATAATTTGAATTCAAATGTAATCATTAAAATGCACGAAACGAAACGATGAAAATATTCTGATGTGACTCGAATGCATTGCCGGATATACATGCTTCTCTATTTTTACCGATCGCATAACAGTTAAATAAAAGTTCCAAATCCGAAACATACAGCTCAGGGAACAAAGCATCACCCTCTTATTTTTTTCTGATACAGACATATCGAGCATATAAAGCTAAAATAAAATATACTGCATTAAAAAGAAAAGCTTACCTTGTGAACAGGTAAAAAGAGGATTTTACAAGAAAATAGAAACAGTGATGAATAATAAAATGAGAACAGCTAAGACAGATTTCAATATTGCTGTTTAGTAAAAATACGTCGGATAAATGTGACTGAATCGCTAACGGGTTTCATGGTCTATGTGGCCATATATATAGTTTCTTCACTTTATGTAACCATCCTCGTGTTATTGAAAGTGATACTACGAACTCAGTTGTATTTGCCGTCACTTAATGGAATATTTACCCAATGATTTTTTTATCTTCGGTTTCGCTTGGAGCAGTGAATGAGGTTCCTGTTTTGTATGTACGATTCGAATAGATATCTGCTTTTCCCTCATCTTGTCTTTGATGTTTATATCATCGAAATTCCGCCTTTATTTGGTAAACGTCTTGATTTGTGTGATGCCACTCGTACGACATTTAGTTTCCCTGGGTATTTGTTATGTGCTATTAACCTTTCACCGTCTTTTATTGATTTGTTTCTATTTGTATCAATCAGTTGGTAGTACTGTATGTTCTAATAAATCATTGTTTTCTTTCTAACAGAAATGGTCTTAACGTCGCAGCCAAGGCCTTCGGTTGGTGGTATACTGGTTCTAAAAGCATGTTTTCTGAGATGATGCACTCACTTGCAGATACTATGAATCAGGTACTTCATTTAGTTGATTCTCATTTTGTAAATGCTGTGTCTCTAGACCAACTGTAAATTTTCCGAACTTATGCAGTGGTCTCCACAAAACACCAGAGTTATATTATTTTGTAAGAGAGAGTCGAACTTGGTAATCAAGGACAGGCGTTTATGCCAGTTTGTGACATATTCTCTGTTATTTGTTTTTCCTAGTTTCAAGTCAACGCACATTAAGTATTCAAACCCGTATCCTGTTTGTGTAGCATTAGAAATATCGTCATGCTCAGTATGTATAGCTAGCTCATTTTCTTTCGTCATAATATCAACTGAGAAAAATATAAGCTAAGATAATATGGGAAACTGGGGATTGGTTAACCACACTAATAAGCATTTCAAAATGTATGTAAGAGCAACAAACTTTATTTCGGAATGAAGAATATGATATCTCAAAAGCAATGAAGAAATGTCAGTACATCTCGCACTATAAATATTTATCCAAGACATAGTATACGTATCATTAATCACTGAGTTCTAGGAAGGAAGATCAATTATATTACTTCGATTACAAATTAATGAGTCTGAGTAAATTTTTGTAGCTAGGATATTCACTGATGTCCCAAGTATTTTGAGTACTTGGTCAGCTGCAGATAAAGTACATATTCTGGCTTATGCTATTATCAGCATGCTAATTAATCATTAAACCTAGTATGCCATATCATGAAAATAAATTAAGCATAAGTGGTATAAACAGTGTGTCCAAGATATGAAACTTGTATACCTGTAACGTGAATAATCATAAACAATTATCATGCAGTATACATCGATGCAAGGCAAAAGAGACAGACTAATTTTTTAACCTATTTCGAATGTTGTAATTGATGTTCTTATCCCTTATAGCATTGTGAAGAAGTGGTTGTCACAAAGTTAATAATTTCCCTTTGATGAGAGCTACAAGTAGGGAAGGACAGTAGTTCTTTTAAGCCTTTCTCTCCAGTAACAGGCATCTACACGTTTGGCATGTTGTTACTAGTGACGGGATATTTTTAGTAACAGGTTAAGGCTGTCATAAACAGTTTTCCTGTTGTTTCCGCATAATTTAATCACCTATTAATTTATTTAAAACAAAGACTCCAAAGATGGGCGATGGTGAAACTGAGGAACCTTGCCTTCACTCTGCCAGAGGTGTTTGTATAAAGAGCCGTCAAGTTGTTAAGAAACTTTTCAGGCACACCTTTCTTCAATGGACAATGCCAGAGAACATTACTGTCCAACAAATCGAAGGCGGGTATGTCAATAAATACGATGATTTTTGGCTTATGATCAGTGTGGCTGAAGGCGAAGATATGATCAATACATCCTCAACCAGAGCGGAAACCAGCCTGCTCCTTGCGACTCAGTCTTTGACGGGTTTTGAACAAACTGTGAAACCAATACTTTGGACGCGAACGGTAGTAGACTTATCCCTCGATAGTTATCACAGAGATGATGTGAACCTTTTTTAAAGATAGCGACAACTATCAGCTCATTCCAGGATGTTGAAATACTCTCTAATTGCCAAGCGATTGTAAAACACTCAGTTAGAAGGTCGCTACCATCTTTAAAAAGGGTCAGAAGTAAGTCATCTGGGTTTGGTGATTTGCAGCGTTTCAAGAGCTGGGGTTCGTTGCAGACTTTCACCTCGTTAGGTGGATCCATCCTCTGGCCATGAACGACATGATATGCTGGTCGAATTCTCTGTGGTGGAAGACCAGCTGAAATATTCTTTGAAAATCTGTCGATTGGTCAAGATGTCGGTGGATGTTATTGGTTGGTATCCCATCAACATCAGAGATTGCTTTAATCACACTAGACTTCTTGCTGCCAGTGGCTCGAATTCGTTTAAGGGGCTCCCAGCAATTACCAGGTGCAGCTGCTGCTTCCAACTCGTTGGCCCCCTCCGACCACTAGGCTTCTTGGTCCTCACGCAAACTCTGCATTATTTGATCATGCAAAAGTTTTATCTTCGAATTCTCGGTTACTCACAGTAGACTGATTCGCTTGAATAAGTTGTAAGGAGGTACGTGTAAAAACCCAGTGCTTATGAGCAGGATGTTTCACGAAGCTGCAAGCTACTTTATTTACCATTTTCATGCAATTACAACCAGTACTCATTTGTACTTTTCGGTGGGTTGGTAGCTAGCCTTGAACTTAGCTCAGTTTGATAATTAGTTGTAACAGAAGCTACAACCAATTTACTGAAATAAATCCATTTAAGACGATGAATGCATTGGCCACTGAAACACAAAATAAGACTAGCACAAACAAGGTCATGATCGAGTCCAGATAGCTACTTCAATAGGATCATCAGTTTTGTCCACAACCACACCAGTGGCGTACGTGGTTTGAGAAAGGCAGCTGGTCGTCTAGATTGGATGGGATTTCAACCATATGTGGGTTGCTGTGTTAGTTGAAGAGAAAGGACTACTCAAAATAGGCGTCAATGAATAAGCAAGTGACGCAATGTAAAATACGAACGAATGTTATCAAGTAATTGTAAGTATGATTTGTGGCAGTGATGACCTAGACGAGCTTAAAATTTTCCAGTTGCTGTCATCACTTAGTTTATGTATTGCTCGGGTGCCCGGTCCAAAGCAGGTGGTTTCCTTAGGTTTTTCTTGATTGAAGCTTAGTCCATAAGTTAGTGGAGCAACGTTAGGAGATGCAGTCCTCTGGTAACTGGTGACCGACAATAGGTGCCATCTGGCTCTTAGGATCCTGAAGTTTATATGCACCAGCGGTTTGGAGTCAGGGTTTTCCACCCCCCAAGGTGGACCATCCGCGTCCATCAACCCGGTTTAGGCTCCAAACATTCGCTTTTTGTGCGCTCGATTTTGTAAACAACACCCATCTACAAGAAGCCAATGAGGAGGACTTCCCTGATAGTGGCTATACATACGTGGCTATGTGGGAGCATTTTGAGAAACAGCGAACTCTCCCCAGTCTCGGTCGTACTAGGGCAGAACTTCAAGTAAGCCCAACCGTTTGCTTTCTGGTTAGGTTCAAGCTTTTCAGGGAAATATAATCAAACGAAAATTACCTAATATAAATATATATATATATATATATATATATATATATATATATAATTCGAGAAAAATTAGATACTTTTCCAGATGATATGAGTCAAACATACCGTAGCATGTATAAAATATTAAATAAACATATATTAATCAAGCTAATTGTCCATTCTATACTTAACAAACCAACTAATTAGGCGAGTGAAAGTAATCGTTGTTACCTACGTAATAAGAGATGGATTAAATGCAGTAAAATGTAAAATATAGTTCAGTTTTACTTGTAAATTATTAGTTATAATGGGATGTCCTCGCATTTGATGAAGAAGCTCTAGAACAGGTGGAAAATTTTACGTACCTAAGCAGCATCATTGATAAACAAGGTGGGTCTGATGCATAATGTAAAGACACGGATTAGAAAAGCAAGGGCAGCATTCTTGCAATTAAAGAATATCCGGAACTCAAAACAGCTATCAATTAACACGTTTCCACTGCTCCATCGAGTGTGATTGGGTTGGTGCACGCAGCTCGAAGTCCACTGAATCTTTCACTCGGTTTAATAACACTTTGTTGAAGACTTTTCTTGGTATTTAGAGTAAGCGTTGCCTCTTTATGTCTCATACCTGCTGAAATCTTTCTTCGGTATCTTGATTCGTCTAATAGCTACATGGGTTTTTTCGATTGCTTGTCAGTCAATATCACTTGGGAGGTGTGGAGGTGCAACTTTGGTGTTGGGTGGGCTCAGTGAAGTTGGTTTATTCAGCAGCTCTTCAAAGTGATTTACCCACCTGTAGAGCTGGTCTTGGATTATATTAACTCTTTTCTTGACTAGTCGTTCCATTTTAAGGTATTATCCAGAGAGCTCTTCGTTTTATTGTTTATACATCTCATGGTTCCTCTACTTGCAGCCTTTTTCACTACTATCACCAGATCGTCCACATTTTCTCCTTTCAGCTTTAATGTTTTTCTTTACTTGCTTGTTCGCTTCTGTGCACTCAGCCTGTGTCTTGGTTTTCTCTGCTCTTTTTCGGCCGTCATTGATCGCTGCCCTCCTGTTCTCCCTTTCTTGAATTTTATCCTGAATTCGTTGAGTTTGTCAGTATCCCGAAGAACGCCGTATTAAATTTTGTTATGTTATCCGCCCCGTTGTACAGTGCTTCGTGAGTTCATTTTCATTTTGGCGACCAGCAAGTGGTGATATGAGGCTATATCTGCTCCCCTCTTGGTTCTCACAACATCATTTGCCCTGGTGAACTTTTTATTGATCCAGATGTCGGTTTGATTCTGTGTAGTGTGATCCGGTGAAACTCGTTTAGCCTTGTGTATGCGTTTGTTTGGAAATATGGTGTGGCCTATAGTGATTATGTTAAAGTCCCACGGATTTGTGAACCTCTCATTGTTCTTACTTCCAACTGTTTTTGTTAAAACATTCGATCAATAATTTCCATGCTAATGTCCACTTATTGTATTTATGTCTATTATTATGCTTGAATTCCGTCAAAATGTATTGCTTTAAACAACTTTTACGAAAATCTATAAATGTTTTAACGTAATTTCCAAATTCAAATTTATCATAATTGTTATCTCTATAGTTGTTTGACGATGGATTGTTTAGCAATAGGTTAAAATAATTTGTATAAGTTACTGGAAGTAGCGTTGTAGTTGTCTATTTGATTAGGCGCTAACTAAAACTTTGCACCCTTTTCTTAGTACTCAGTTTTTACTAACATTTTCAAGCAGAAGATATTAATTTTACGTATAGAAAAGGCAATATATCCAAATTAACTTTTCACTAATGCATGACTGATCAGTTTTCAATCCTCAGAATCCACGTTAATAGTCGCAAATATTTTGTTTCACGAATCATCTTAGTTATTTTCTATATCTAACATTCGTAAGCTTAATAGGCCTTATCTTTCACTATTTATCTGTAGAATTTCTTTTTCCTTTACTGTTAATTAATGCAACAAATCATTGGATGACTAATAATTACTGTTTTCTGCTAACCTCATAGGTTCTTGTTGCTTATGGGCTATATTCATCATTACAGAAACCAGATGAAACGCATCCGTAAGCTCTTTTCGTTTTGTTTTACGTTTGTAATTTAATAGGGTACTATGTATATGTATGTATCTGCGTAGCTTAATCTCTGGTTGTTATCGATATTTTAGCTGTTCGACAATAAGATCTGCCTTAATGTTGCTGTACTAAGTTAGAATTAACAGTTTCCGGTGTTAACTCAAACATCTTATCAAGCATACCATGTACTTACCATTTGATCACAGACGCAGTTTGATCATTTATTCCCGTTTATTTAGGTAGATACTGTGTCTAGTCTTGACGAATCACGAACTATGTATCTATCAAGCGACATCCCCGAAAAATCTATATTATTATAATAGAATCTAGCACAGTGTATATCAATGTGAATTACCAAGAACTTTCCTGTTCACCAGTGCTACCGTATATTAACAACAGAATCTAAGACTTGTATCTGATTTAACATTTCACGATCGTGGTTCTACATAATTGAGCAATCCTACGTTAATAATTTTATTCTCACAACTGACTAGTTGTGACGGGTATTTCTGATATTTTGGTAGGAAGCTGTGCCCAGTGTAGTTCAATGACTCATGACCTGGGTTCGTTGGTATGCAATTCTGAGGAGTCCTATGCGATAACAAAACAGTCTGTAGCATCTGGTTTTTTTAGTTTAGCCAGCGTCACTTTGTGGTTCAAACGATGAATAATAATTTACTTACTTATGATCCGTCTTCAGATATCGTGTAGTTGGTTTTTCATAGTTTCATTTAAAAGTCAAGTTTTTGTTTGTTTTAAATTTTCATATTGTTTGGTTACTATTGATTTCACAAAAGTATATTACTATGATGCTTGATTATTAGATACGGTTATGTTCCAATGCGTAATGTATCATCATTGATAAGTGGTGTCGCTATTTTTTTCCTGGGAGCTGGTCTTACATTTTATCATAGTGTGCAAGGCATTTTGCAGCCACACGAATTCGAATCTATCAATCTGGTAATTAATTTTACTTTCTGTTAATTTTGTGTTGATGTCTTAACCTTGCACTAAATAAATAACGCGTAAATGACTAAAAGGATTTAGACTTAGTGACTTTAGTCTCATATGTGGTTCAGCTACAAGAACAATGAGGTATTGTTCTCAGGACTCACAAATTTGCCTATTTTTCAGATCGTGCTTACTTACTGAAACTTGTAACATATTTCTTTTGATTGTGACGTTTGGCAATAGATATCCAAGTATCGTTGCTTGTTGTTGAAATATTTGGTTTTTGTGTGTTCATACGGCTAATTATCTCTTGGATATTCGTAATTGTTTAATCAGATGTTTTTTATGTTTTCAGTTGCAAGCGAATAATCATTTAAAAAAATTTCCAAGTTACATTGACTTGGGCTGCTCTTGTGAATCAATATACTGACCTTTAAACTGTAGATGGCTTGCATATTACTCGTTACTGATGCTTGAGAAACTCGTACAGCATAAATTAAAACGGATCTTTAAAACAATTAGTCCCTTTTATAAATTTTGATCGAACAGTGAGAAGACGTAATTGATCTGAAAATTATGATGATGTAAAACGGATCTCACTAACTTCTTTTGATGTGTTTCCCACATCTAACCATTCATGGTAGTTAATACCTTTATTTCCACTTCACTGCTTCGTTCAGTTCGCTAACTTGAGATATGACTACTTATTTTGATACAGATTCGTTTTAGGTTTTACGTTGTCTATAACTGACGGAAGCAGTGCTCATGGTTAGACTTTGCTACAGATCAAGCAGACTAATGCATTCGAATTTGACTCTTGAAGTTTACTGAAAGAATATCAAGTGGTGACCATCATTCAACTCTTGTAGTAGTTTAGTAAAATCGCTGTCTTCGTTACAGATTATCAAAGTAATATTCATATATCTCTTGTAGAATTAAATATTATCAACCGCTTTTCACTCAATACTTGAAACCTTTTGATACTCATGATCATATAACGAAACATCACTCTCTTTTGAATAAGTTTGGTTATCGTTGATAATTTTCTAGTGCTCTTCTATCTTGCCATAAACTACTGCTTAAAAGATTACCTGTAAATACGATTGTACAGCTGCAGAAAATGATGTCGCGCAAAAGAAAGTGTTCTTCACTACCACTTCATTCTTTATAATGAATCAATTTTCAGAATTGGCAGGGATCGTATTGCAGTTCAGGAACTCGATAGATTTCCATAATACACTGTCAAACTTATGATAGCGAATGCTAAACACCAACTCTCTGAAAGGCTGTATAGATAAACGTGAATATCTGAAACCGTTTCATAAAGCACATGCTTTATGTGAATTATCGAGTGGTGAATGCGAAAAGTTCAGGGAATATGTCGATACAATTGCGAAAAAATGGTTTAAAGACATGACTCACGAAAAGTTCAAGACAAACGGAGTTGAAAACCTCCTTTCCGAATTCTTCTGAGATATATGTTTTCAACTATTATAATACAGATGTACGTTACAAATGCAAGCACCGTCTCGTATCAAAATACTGTTACTTCTATGAAAATTGAAAAACAACACAAAAACACAATTTTAATATCTTATTAAACAAACGTTTGATTTAACCCCACTTTCGAACAATCATTTTGAGCAAATGAATTCAACGTTCACTAATTGTTGCCGTAACTCTATTAACTCGAAGACCTCAACGAAGCGATTGAAATTTCAACATGTCGGAATTTACAGACGATTTCTTTAGACCAATAAATGGTCAATCTGCTCTTCACGAGCTCTAGTTAGGCGTTTAAGTATTATCTAGACTAGCAATTTAGAGGCTATATAGGCTTTTTATCAGCTTGCGCCTAAGCTGACTCCGCTCCTCATCGTACTTGGAGCCAGACGGGATGAGTTTACGAGCGTCCATCAGTTCGGTAGATGCTACTGAAATCCACCTCTGCTGCAGAACCTTGTTGTTTACATTACTAGCAGATATCACTGCTGTTCCGACAGCTTTTTGGATATCATTCCAAGCTGTCTCGAGATGAGGATAACTTACCACATGGCTGCCTAACTGTTTTTCTAATTGTTCCTAAAATATATCCTTAGCTATGCTATCATTAAGTAGAACCATATTAGGTTTGCTTGCGATGTCTTTCCTACTTACAGTTAGCCTCAAACAAATACGCACTCGCACCAGAGCATGGTCTAAATCTAAACAAGTGTTCCAGAATGAGAGGGCGGTCTTCAGTAGAGCCTTTCCACCGATGGATGATAGTAATGTAGTCTAGTTGGGTCGGCCTTGGGGGTCGTCAGGTCAAGAGATGTTTTTCTTATGCTTAAGGCTAGTGTTTGATATAAATAGGCCTTTATCTGAGCTCAGCTGCAGCAGGTGGTCCCCATTATCTGCTCTTTGAGCCACGACACCATAAGATCCACTCAGGTGTCTTTCTTTATCACCTAGTCTACTTACCTGAGCTTTAAAGTCACCAGTCATCAGAGCGCTCAACTTTTCCAAGGTTAGAATGGTTTCTCTAGGACTCATCTTTTATCTCGTCTGAGCTGCAGAGTCTTCTGACTACCCTAAGCAACAGTTCAAGCATGTTCGGGATGCGGTTCTCCCCCTCGAAGTGCAAAAATTTGCTTCATGATTCGCTTGCATCGGCACCTGAACTAGTAATACAGAGTGAAATAATCGAGCGTGTAGACCGCTTCACTTATCTGGGTAGTCTCATCAGTGCTGATAGCCTGGTGACTGACGAAATCTCAGCTCGGATACAGAAGGCTCGATTGGCTTTCGCCAACTTGCGTCACTTGCGGCGTAAGCGAGATATCCGTTTACTAACCAAAGGACGTGTGTACTGTGCAGCAGTTCATTCTGTGAAGGTGGAGATTTGTAGCTCAGGTGGATCTGAGAAATTTGTAAATTGTTAGACATACATGTCTTTCTGTGAACATAGATTCAAGAACACTAAAGCTGATGTATTATCAAGGGCGTTCAGTCAGTCAGTCAGATGCAACGTAGAACTTGGTACGTAAGTACATCAGTTCATGTTGCCATACCACATCAGCACAGAGATATAATTGTCCATTCAAATCCAATAGTAGTAGAGGTAGTAAGGGAATTAGAAGTAATCGGAGAGGTTAGGATGAGAAGATACTATTCAAGAAGTATGATTAAATTAGAAAAGTTTCGAAAGTCAAAACTAGAGGTGTTGAAGAATCCAGAAGATTAGGATTTGAGAGAACACAAAGAATAAATGCACCGGCGCCATTGCGAACGATTTTGAGCCATGTCATTCAAGGTCTCTAACCATCGATCATTATCATCTCGCGGACCCCAACCAGGTAGTCGACAATTACCGACATGGCTCAGTCCACTCGTCAATGACTTCATGGATTTCTGCCATGTTTTGGTCTGGCCGCCCCTAACTTTCTTCCAACCTACTCCTACACTACAAAACAAAGTTCGTCGAGGCAGTCGGTGGTTGGGCATACGCAACACATGTCTCAACCACCTCAACTGATGAAGTTCCAATGCTTCATCTATTGATATGCCATTCTTACCTAGCACCCGTTTCCTAATAACAGCGTTGCTGACTCGGGTGTCCCACGATATACGAGCAATAATTCGAAGACACCTATAATCGAAAACCAGTAACCTACGAATATCTTCTACTCTCATTGGCCATGTTTCACAGCCATATAGGAGAACGGAGCGAACTGCTGCACAGTACACTCGTCCTTTGATTAGAGAACGGATATCACGCCTACGCCATAAGTGACGCAGGTTGGCGAAAGCCAATCGAGCCATCTGTATCCGTGCTGAGATTTGGTCAGTCACCAGGCCATCGGCACTGATCAGACGTTAGGTATACGGCTATCGATTTCCCTGTAAATTATTTCAAACCAGACACTGACATTCACTGTTTCGAATCTACTGCATATTGTAAGGTAAAAATGTCACTAACCTATCTTTCATTTCGGTAAGTTTAATGCAACCAATAAGGTTTTAAGAATGCTATCACTGTATATGTAAACTCAACTGGTTTATAAAATCAAATATACTTAAGCTTAATTGAGTTTAAATCAAAATAACGTTTGACGCATAGTTATCAACGTCGAAACCGATCTTTAGTGATCGTTGTAGCATCTGAATCGAGTATCAAATATTACATCATACTTTGCTTTTTAGCGGAGCACTACTTGAACAGTAAAATTCACAAAGAAGTCTTTCTTTGCTTACATCTAATTTAAAGAAATCAATTGCAGTATTTTTCAATTGGCTCGTATTTCTGCAAGTTAGATCACTCTTAAAATTAGCACAGCATGATATATCTATATTTATTTACTAGAAAATTTCTGTTTATCTCGTATTTTTCTTGTATAGGCTTTAATGGTCATGCTAGGCTCACTTATATCCGAAGGAAGTAAGTTGATTTTAGACAGTCTCCTATGTTCATGTGTAATATGACTTATTTATCGCAAAATTAGCATTACTTATTCGATTCATCCCAAGAATAAGTTGTTTTATACATTAAAATGTAGGATATAGATTATATGAGGGATTTACTTGTTCGGATTAGAATTCTTTTATTTTACACTACGGTCACATTTTTACTTTTCAAACTATTAAAACTTACACAGCTAATTCTCAGTGTCATTACTTGAAGTGTAACGCTCATTGATATTGGTTTCTAAATTGAAGTTCGAACACATACTCTAGCGTATCCGATTCCCTTCTAAAATGTTAAAACCTAAATAAAATGCAAAGAAAGAGAATCTTATGTTCATGACAAAGAATTGACCACGCACGGTACTAGTTTGTAAGATTTTACACTGTAAGTGAAGGGTGCTGAGTATCTATATTGTGTTAAACTGTATGTATATAAACCCATTGATTAAGTTTTGAAACTAAGGGATTTGCGATAGAACATATTATACACCTTGATGAGGATAATTAGAGAAACTTTTTATATCATTCTCAAGGAATTGTTGGAGTGTTGTGTGCGATATGCTTTTGTGATAGGTGATGATCATTATGTTGTTTTTTAGCGAATTTTTCTCACCTTTATCTTTACCACTTTAACTTATTTTGAAACAATTGTGACTTTTCTCAAGGCACTTTAGCTTTTGCTTATCGCGAAGCTCAAAAAAGTGCTAAGCGTCAAAACTTCTATTCCGTCAGACAATGGTTGTTTTCCGGAGTTGATCCAAGTACTAGTATGGTTTTACTTGAGGATTTAGCTGCAGTCATTGGCGTTATCGTAGCAGGATCCGCTATGACTATAACCGCTTGCACCGGACATGTTTTACCTGATGCAATTGGAGGGATTTGTGTTGGTGCAATTCTCGCTACTGTGGCTGGTTTGATCATACATACGAATACTGAAATGTTAATCGGAAGGTAAATTATATTATTTTAGTTGATCAGAAATTAGACTGCATTACATGGTGAATATTGTTTTCAATTATTATTCATTCACCGTTTATGCAATCTGTGCATAAATTGACTAGTTGTGAAAATAAATCGTCTAAAATAATGCACTGTGTTAATACGTTAGATAATTTTGCTAAACCTTATCTTATATTTTCACTAAAATCTCATCACCTGGGGAGTAACTTATAAATATTTTCCTTGTTAATTGTCTTTCTGTCGGAGCTTCTTTCAAAGCTTTGTCATTTTTCGTTGTTTATTTGATTTTTGAAGTGTTTAGTGTTATCTTAATTACCAGTCACAAACCAGTTAACTATCTCATTACTAATTATTCAGAGTCCCATCTATAGGTTAAGGTTTCGTAATAGACTTTAATTTTGAAATTCTTGGTTGCAAATGAGAATGCATACTGCTACACTGAAACTGAACTATTGTGTTGGGCTAGTAGTCTGTTATTGCTTCTTACTTCTGGCTGTTTTGTGACTATTGATACTCTCAACGCATTGTGTCCACATCATGCAAAATAAAAACCAAGATTCGCATTACCATTTGTAATTAGCAGCAAACTTGGAGTTTTAAAAACCATGACTTAAGTAAGAATTCATCGACCTCCATATATGAAGTAAGGCTCAGTGTACTTTAATATAATAATACTGGTGTTCGTTAACAATTCCATTAATTTAGTCTTTACTTCATTTTCTTGCCTCATATTTTTATGTGTTTCATGAATGTTCTGAGAGAGTTCAGTTAGCATTATGATTTGATAAAAACGTTGTTGGCTCCATGATTTTCTTCCTTTTGTTTGCCTCATCTTTTTTATTTGACTAATGTTGGTTCATATTAAAAATTCTATCGATGTTTAATTGTCTTCTAAAATGAGACTAAAGTTTCTTTATATCTGCATCTTTACATGTGCTAACTATAAACAGAGCCATTCCGGTCGAAAATCAAGAGGCAATTATGCGTGTGATTGATAATATAAAAATTATCCGCGGAACATATGATATAAAAGCAACAATGATTGGTGGTGAAGAAATACGATTCAAAGCAGAAGTTGATATTGATGGTCGAGAGCTTACTAAACGTTACCTTGAAACCTTATCATTAGATGATCTACTCCAAGTAAGTTTGTCTATTAATAGTTAATTAAATGTTACTCACTTTCAAAAGAATTTCCCGTTGCTGTAAATCATCTAAAAATCTGTTACATTTATTAACTTGTGTCCTGGAATGTTTTAAGCTTTTATGATTTTTCGATGCTCATGTTTTACTACCTAACCTTGGAAATGTCGTATTCAGATTATATTCAACATATTAGTACTCTGATATAGTAGTAAGTAGTGGTCAGTCGATTTGTGTCACTTTCTGCATCATTATGTACCAAATGATAAACTATTATAAAAGGTGTTTCAACTCATTACTGAAGATTCGTATCAAAGTTTTCCTTACCATATTACTCATGCACCGTAAACAGTTAGTGGACGAATAAAAGCACTGACGTCATAATTCAATCTCACAAAATTATACTGTTGACATAATGCATAGTATAGACACGTCCTGAAAGTATGCAGACAATTTAGCCACTACGATTAGTCATTTTAATTAAAACAGTAATAAAATTGTCCTTTATTAATTGTTGATTATTACTTTGTTAATCTGCTAATTTTTGTGTAACAACTCGATATAATTTTTGACCTACAGTAATTTCCGATTACGAAAAACGGTACCTCAACTCGATATTCCAGTAACTGACACTTCGACAGTTTTCACCAGCGCAATGAAACCTAAAATGGCAACCTAAGTATTATTAGCAGCTTCGTGTCCGTTGAAATCGAATAATTATGTATACTTACGAACAAAACACGACTTTCCGACACAATCATACTACTGAATTAACAAGAAGTTCAATGCGAATATATAAATCAGAAGCAAAGCATTCGTGGTTGTCTTTAAAGATAACCTGGGGTCTCCTGAACAGAATGTAATACTGTTTCTTAGAATTTCACTCAATAGTCGTGCGCATTCTGTCTTGTCAAGAACAACAACTTCATTTACTACTTTGAAAGAGCAGTGACCATATTCCACATGATTCTTTTTACCTGATTTAAACGCAGAATTCCAGTTTGACCTGTGGAACTTATTGATTATATGCTAGTTTGTATTTCAAATAATCTAACTAAAACAATTCAGTACTACTTTTGTTTTATAAATTTTTAGGAAGTGAAAAATGTCAAAACTGAACAACAACTGGCTCATTTTATGTTAAAACATGGTGATAATTTAGTGAATACATTAGGAGCAGAAATAAATAAAATTGAGGAGAAAATCAAGGTAATGCACCTATCTGTAATTTTCGCTCACTTTGAAGTAGCCGGGTGGATTTTACTCTACAGCACTAGTTGAGTATGGTTAAATTTATAGATGCATACTCAGTATCACCCAGTAGGTAACATTAACGAAATCAACTCTCTCAAGAGTAATAGGAAAGACGTGAATCATAAATAATTAGTAGTTCGTTTTAGAATGATTCATTTGAATCTATAAATAACAAATCATGGATTGTTGTAAAAGTGAGATTTAAAAATGTACTGACATTACAGTCGCTTTTAAGTTAACTAACCAGATTTGATCAATCATTCGGTCATAAATTCTATTTACGTCTGTGAGTTTTAACAAGTTTCTGGAGCATATGAATATGACGGTCAAATAAAGCCATACTCAGAGAATGATTAATTAATTTCAAGATATTTGAACTGGTAGACCTAAAAAATGTCATGGGCTTCAGTAAATAACTTGATATCAATCTCTTGTAATAAGTGACAAGAATTTGCTAAGGCTCATAAATGAGGCAGTCATTAAGACAGTAATCGATAAACTGTCACTGTCAACTTGTGTTTTCCTACATAAATCACGTTTTGTAAGTCCACCCCATCTAACTGATGTAGGACTGGCAGTCATTTGAAGATCTGATTTCTTTGTGATAAGCGATGTTTCTCATCCCAGCTTCGTGATTTATTTTGTGAACCCGTATTACCCGTTTTCCCACTGTAAGGAAGTCAGTCATGCAATATTCCTTGAAATGTTATAATATCAATTGTGTGTTTTCCTCGTTTAGCCTTATTATATATCTATTAGTCTATTGATTGTATTTCTTCTTTTAGAAGGAATTCCCGAATGTAACTCATATTGACATTGAGATTAACTAATCACTGGGTTTCCGATTTTTTTTTATCACTATTTATCGTGTGGACTACTCTTGCTGTACATTTGTAGCTTTTCTGTGATTTGGGATCCATATCGCTTTATGTATATTTATATAACAATATATGTACACAAATCATTCAGCAGACTTATTTCCAACACCGGAAAACGTTTTCTGAGAAAATATTTTTAGAAGGCAACCTACTTAAAAGTGACATCTTGCCGTCAAAATACGCGCGACAACTGTACATGTGTAGCGAGAAAAAACATTACCAGTCTACTCTTGTAATATAGTATCTGAAAATACATCGTCAGTACTATATCCTATCAGGCATTTCATATTACGTAGGGCGTTAAATGAACAGAAGTTCAATAGGGAAAAGAACAACCATCTTTATAATATAACGTACGACGTAATTTAATTTTGCGATGATGTTATCGCTTCACCATGAATGTTGATCGGACACACCACCCCCTCTCTTTCTGTGATGTTAGGATCTCCTATGTTTATAGTATGTCATAATTAACGTTTCAGTCTAAGCAATATCTTCTGCACACCCTGTTGGAGTGCAATGCATCTACTAGTTCCATGTTACAAACAAACCAGACAACTTTAGTTTCCGTACATTGGACTGTAATATTCATGTACCATATCACACTGATATTAAGTTGACTTATGTTATCAATTGGACTAATTCAGTAACAGCGTATAAATAGCCAAACAATGTTCCGCATCCGCTTACATCAGGATCTGCGACTGTGAGTTTTGAATACAGGTTAGCTAAGCTATTAATGTTACTATTCGGAGAACTGACTTCATTCACTTCATGAAAGTCAACGTCAGAGTTAAAAAGGATGATCAGTGTAAACGTAGAATACAAAACTATTGACTTGATGTTCGTAGTGCATAGAAGATTGCCCTACTTGATCGATCTAAGGAAGTACCAATGGTGTAGTCATTTCTTTTGACATTCAGATAACTATGGCGACGCACGCTGCTGGCAAACTTGAAGAGACTGAAGTTTACATGCATTTCTTATCAGCTCTGAATATAAATGCTGGTATTTCATGGATTGCTGCATCTGCTATCCTACTGAGTAGCTTATATTATTGATTCTTAATCTGATTTCCGTGTCTTCTCTCAGTGTGTTTAAACAACAATTTCATCGTAAGCAATTGGTCCCGATACACGCTAGGAAAACTCAACACTTGTGTTTACCCATTTATAAAAAATTGGGTATTTAAACGTCATGTTATTCCTGAACTCTCTAGGACCATGCTAAATATAGCTGCAGTAAAAACTAGCATACAATCAGAACCGTGGGTTTTAATAATCCCTTTTTCTCTAAGCTCTTCCTTTAAATGGTAGTCAGAGTCAGATGCAACGTAGAACTTCGTACGTAAGTACATCAGTTCATGTCGCCATAACACATCAGCAAAGAGATGTAATTGCCAATTTAAATCCAATAGTAGAAGAGTTAGTAAGGGTATTAAAAGTAATCGGAGAGGTTAGGATGAGAAGATATCATTCAAGAAGTGTGATTAAATGAGAAAAGTTTAGAAAGTCAAAACTAGAGGTGTTGAAGAATCCCGAAGATTAGGATTTGAGAGAACACACAACAAATGCACCGGCGCCATAGCGAACGATTTTGAGACATGTCATTCAAGGTCTCTAACCATCGATTATTATCATCTCGCGGACCCCAACCAGGTAGTCGACACCTACCGACATGGCTAAGTCCACTCTTCAATGACTTCATGAATTTCTGACATGTTTTGGTCTCTCCGCCCATAGCTTTCTTCCAACCTATTCCTACACTACAAAACAAAGCTCGACGAGGCAGTCGGTGGTTGGGCATACGCAACACATGTCCCAACCACCTCAACTGATGAAGTTTCAATGCTTCATCTATTGATCTGCCATTTTTCCCTAGCACCCTATTCCTTATAACAGCGTTGCTCACTCGGGTGTCCCACGATATACGAGCAATGCTTCGAAGACCAGTAACTTACAAAAATCTTCTACTCTCACTGGCCATGTTTCACAGCCATAAAGTAAGACGGAGCGAACTGCTGCACAGTACACCCGTCCTTTGGTCAGCAAACGGACATCTCGCCTACGCCATAAGTGACGCAGGTTGGCAAAAGCCAATCGAGCCTTCTGTATCCGTGTTGAGATTTCGTCAGTCACCAGGCCATCAGCACTGACGAGACTCCTCATGTATGTGAAGTGATCAACACGTTCGACTACTTCACTCCCTATCACTAGTTCAGGTGCCGATGAAACCCAATCTTGAAGCAACCTTTTGCATTTACAGGGGGAAAACCGCATCCCGAACATGCTCGCATTGTTGCTTAGGGTAGTCAGAAGACTCTGCATTGTGTCAACTTCTTCACCAAGTAGGACTATGTCATCGGCATATTCTAAGTCAATAAGCGAGCCAGCAGGTAGAAGGTCTACTCGTGAAAATTCAGACGAGGATAAGGTCATTTCTAAGAGCATGTCTATGATAAAATTAAACAAGAATGGAGAAAGTGAACAGCCCTGACGGACACCACTTGAAGTAGAGAATTCCGGTGGCAGGGCACCATAGGCTCTCAATCGACCAGTAGTGTTCGAGTAGAGAGCTTGTATAAGGTTAATGTACTTATTTGGTACACCTTTCAATGACAGGCACTGTCACAGAAACTCACGATCCACAGAGTCAAATGCCGCCTTAAGGTCCAGGAAAACAACTATTGTATGACACCTAAATGAGTGTCTGTGTTCCAGGACCTGTCGTAGTGTGAAGATGTGGTCTATACAACCACGTCCAGGTCGAAAACCAGACTGGTTTCCCCTAGTCTGATCTTCACGAGCACTAGTAAGGCGTCTAAGTATAGTCGAGGCTAACAACTTAGAAACTATATTAGTTGGACTTATTGCTCTGTGATTGTCACAACAAGTCTTTTGTCCTTTCTTATAAATTAGGACAATCAGTGATTGAGACCATTTGGATGGGATTGTGTCCAGTTCCCATATTCTACCTAAGATCTCAGTCAATCTAGCTGATAAAACTGGACCACTATCCTCGAAAATCTCAGAGGTCAATCTATCGAGACCCGCTGCTTCTTCTCGCTTCAGATTTCCTAACGCTTTATCAATTTCATTAAGACTAGGTGGGCTTACGTCGACTTGCCATTCAGGATGACTGGAGATCGTGGGTAACTGAAGAGTGGCTCGAGGCCAGTTGAACTGGTCCCTAAAGTGTTCTGCCCATCGGTCTAATCTCCTGGATTGAGAATGGATAATAAGACAATCGTTTCCCGAGTTAGTCTCACTCACATTCGGGTTCCTAATACCAGTTTCCTTGATAAGGCGGAAAAGTTGTCTAGTTTTGCCTATCGCCGCTGCCTTTTCCATCGCTTTTCCTTTCTCCACCCACCACTGTTCCCGGTCGTTGTGTAGGCTTTTTATAAGTCTGCGCCTAAGTTGACTTCGTTCTTCATCATGTTCAGAGCCAGGTGGGATGAGTTTTCGGGCATCCATCAGATCGGTGGATGCTATTGAGATCCACGGCTTCATCCTAGCCTTATGGTCAACCTTACTAGCAGATATCACTGCTGTTACCACAGCCTTTTTGATATCATTCCAACCAGACTCCGGATGGGAATCACTTGCATGGTCGCCTAACTGTGTTTCTAGTTGTTCCAGAAATATATTCTTCGCCCTATTATCATTAAGTAAAACGCTAAGAGGCTTTCTTACAGTATCTTTCCAACACCCAGTAAGCCTCAAACAAATACGAGCTCGCACTAGGGCATGATCTGAATCTAAACATGTGCCTCAGAACGAGCGACAGTCTTCTATCGAACCCCTCCATCGGTGGCTGATGGCGATGTGATCTAGTTGAGTCCAACGTTGAGACCACTTTGGAGGTCGCCAGGTCAACAGATGCTTTTCCTTATGCCTAAAGTTAGTGTTTGCTAAGGATAGGCGGTTATCTGAGCATAGTTGCAACAGACGGTCGCCATTGTCTGTTCTCTGAGCCGCGAGACCGTAACATCTACCTAGGTGTCTTTCATTTTCACTCAGTCTACCTACTTGAGCATTAAAGTCACCAGCCATTATTACTATATCAGAGAGCCTAGCTTTTTGGAGGAGGTCCGGAAGCTTTCTGTAAAACTCATCTTTAACCTCGTCTGAACTGCAGTCAGTGGGGGCATAGGCATATACGATGAAGATGCAACGGCGATTGTCCCTATCTTTCCGAGTCCTTACTGTCCCGTTCAGTCGGACAGCGCACAAGCGACTATCTACTGGGATCCAGTCTAGGAGAAATTGTTCAGCTCTACGACTCAATGCTATGCCTACGCCAGCAAGAGCCTGAAAGCAGCATCAGGGCTACCGGGTACACGAAGAGTAAATCGAGCTGCTTCTTTATTTTGACAAGATGAAATCAGATTAATAATTTTACTAGGATCCTGTATGCGCGTTTCCGAGACGCAGCATACATCGATTGAGCGAGATTCTAATGTCCCAGCTAATGATGCCTGTTGCCCTATTTGACACAATGTCCGTACATTAAAAGCTCCAACATGTAGTTTAAAACGGGGTTTAAGGAGACAAGGAACGAGGTTTCGTGAACTCGTATCGTTTGCATTAGCGGTGCAGTCAGATGAGGGAATGTGAGGAGAGTTAGTCGTAAAGATAAGAGAGGGGGGTTGTTGGAAGGATTCGGTTTTGACCGATTCGGTCTCGCATGCTGTTATGGGTATGAGGACGGTTGTCACTTCCCGGCTGCCCACACCATTGAAGAGTGTTTCTTGAGGGACCTGAAAAGGAAGATAGATTAGTGTTGGTCTTACAGACCTGGGAGCGTGACCGCAGAGTCCATGGGACAACTGCTTGAGGCCGGTCACGCACGGCCTTTTTATGAGAAGCTTTATGAGTGTTAGCTCCGTTCTTGAAAGCCCTTAGTGGGCACCCTTACCGACGGAGACGGAAATCCGTGAGGTAGGGTGAGGTGTGACATTTTTAGGGTCGACTGTTTCTTACCCTTCCTTCCTTGTGAGAAGGAAGCATCGCTGCACATGCTGGTTGTCCGAGGGAAACACCTTACTGCTGTCACACCCCTCTGCAGTCAGCAGTACGACTTCGCCCTCAGACCTTGGGTAGCTGCTTTTAGTCTCATCGCTCTCCAATCGACCTGCAAGGCATGGTGGAACCTTCAGGAACAAGAGTTCCAGCCAATATAGCTCGGTTGGGTCATCACGATAGGCAAGCCCGACTACCACGTCAAGGTAGCAGCTACGGTCGGGTTTAAATGGTAGTCAAGTAAAATGTTCCATGTGTTTTCTAGAGATTTCATTGACAATTACTTCAGAAATATCCAATGATAACAGTTCACGTCGTCTATTGAGAGCAATTTTTAGACACACAATCTCAAGTGCGACAAATCGGAAGATACTGTAAACAGTTCAAGTGTACCAAGCAACCTGCAGTCATAAGAAGCCTCGATTTTTAAGAGCTAAACTATACCAATTCGCCGAATACAGGTTATTAACGACAAAATCATACAAACGCACATCGGGCAAACAAGGAACTGAATCTTAGTAGTGCTAAGAGAAGATATTATTCAGTGTCAGATACAGCTAGTTGATAAATTTACATACTTAAGGATGTGTGTCATTGTAGCTTTCTTCAATTAGCTAGAGCCGGATTTTCCTATTTGCCCAACCAGTGACATCTTCGAAACTAGAGAGATTCTGACATGATGGGAAGGGGAATTTTAAGTGTTATATGCAACAAATTACGAGTTTACCCAGCAATATAAAGAGAGACACTTCCCTTGGTCAGGAAGTAATTCCTTCTGCATTGCCAGAAGAAGCATCTTCATTCTTGAAAACGCTGGTTAGCATGATATTCTTACATTCGCTAGACCAATTTGAGGCAGAGGCAGTTCGGAGTTGGTGCACACAACAGAAGTTTTTAAGACGGATGACACCATGAACCTTCAGTTATTAGATTGTTTCAACCCTCCCAGTTCCCGTATACGTGATCTTAGCAAGCAGGGTACAACTCCCACTGGTTGGTTCCAAAGACTTATCACAGCTATTCAAAGATTGGGACTGACTGAGCACGTATGCAGTACCACTAGGTGGACTGAGAGGGGAAAATTCTCAAACCTGGAATATTTGTTAACAAATAATCAGCTCCTTGTCAAGGATATTCACGCCTATACACCACTAAGAAGTAGTTACTATGGTACAGTCTTGCTTTACAGGATAGTGAACAAAACGCGGGCAGGACGAAAACGAGCCCTACCTTCGCTATACTAGGGCGAATCACACGTGCATGAGAGAACCTTATATAAGCCCTACTGCCATGGTGATGGCGTAGGGTGACAGTAAATAGTTACTTGGAAACATCATTCAGAATGCTGTCCTAAACGATATGCCCAAGTCACTCCACACATGGGTTGAACGCGGCACTGAATGGTTGTCAAACGCGAAAAGGAGAGTTTGGCACAAGTGCAGGGCCTCCTTCAAGGATTCCTACAGTAGTTCTTACTCGGCATTGAGAAATAGATGAAATGCCAAAGTTCGAAGTGACAGGAGACGCTTTCAGATGAAACTAGATGTTCCAATACTTGCAAACCCTAAGCATATGATTAGGTTCATGACGAAAAAGAAACCTACGAATAAGGGTCTGTGTTCCCTCAAAGATTCGTACAGATGTCTGAGATCTTCAACACAAACTTCCGCGATCAGTTACACCAAGCATCCACATGTCCAGTGTACTACGCAAACTCAGTTCCAGCTGACGGCTTAGGGAATATCCTTATTACTCCTGACTTGGCACTGAGATAACTTAAATAGATACGACCAGGGAAGTCATCAGGTTGTGGCAGTATTCGTCCCATAGTCTTGAAAAAATGTGCAGAAGCCCTCTCCTCACCGATATGTGACCTGTTCAGGCATTCACTGGAGTCACATCAACTCCCAGTTGAATGGGATCAAGCTACTCTCTCTCCGATATTCGAAGGAGGAGATAGGGAGGACACAGTCTGTTACAAACTAGTCGCATTACTACCAATACTATCAAAGGTAATGGAAGTGCTGGTCGACGAACAGGTAAGGGAGTACATGGAGAAGAATAAAATGCTCCATCCAATCTTCATATGGCATGGGACAGTTGGACATCCTGTTGGGACCTGAAAATACCGGTGCATGTAATATTTGTAGACTTTCAAATAACCTTTGACACAGTACCCCAAGCACGCCTAATCACAAAGGTTGCGGAAATGGGCTTCACTGACCCACTCGTATCTTGGTTCAGAAACTACCTTGAGAATAGAAAGTTTAGTACCAAGATAAATAGAGTGCACACGAGCTGGCGAGTATCCTCATCGAGAGATTCACAGAGCACCATCTTAGGTCTACATCTTTTCTTGATATTAATTAACGACCTTTCAGACACAGTTAGCTCACTAGCATTGATCTACGCAGACGATGCGAAGATGTGGAGGTCCATCAGAAGCGAAGAGGATTCGAATGAGTTTCAAAAGGATCTTATCCATTGAGGAATAGGCAGTGATAAACGGTCTTAAAATAAACCAGTCAAAGTGTCACGCGATGAACGTTCTGCCACATATGATACAAACGATTAACACCCTCAATGGAAGTCCGCTCCTTAATGTCTCTTCAGAGCGCGATCTAGGTTAATTGACCACAGTAAACCTCCACACCAACTCAAACTATATAGGGAACGCAGACAAGGCAAATGCGACTCTTCAATTTATGCGAAGACTATTTGGTGCCATCAATCCAGACTTATTTTTAATGTTGGTTATGTTATATGCACACCATACTTGGAGTTTCACAACGTCATCGCACCCCCTCTTCATGAAAGAGACATAAATCTCTTGGATCCAGAGCATGGACGGTCGACGAAATGGGTGATAGGATTGCAAAATAAAACTCACGAAGATAGAATCCAGTTGATGGGATCATTCTTTCTGGACTGAAGGGGAATCAAGAGTGATCTGATTATGGCTTACAACATATTAAGCACTCCAAAACATCCCAACATGAGCTCATCACCACCACTGCCCTCGAGGCGATCGCCGAAAAATTGCTCATCAAAGAGCGAATACTCAGGTTCTTGAACACTTTTTTTCATAGCGAGTCGTCGCAACTTGGGATGCTCTCCCAGCGGAGGTGATCACAGCCCCTTCAGTGGACAGCTTTAAGAAGAGACTGGATAATCACGTACTCACATAAGGATTATCATCTCCCTCTTGGACAAGCTGTTCATGATTCACATCTTGAGATCTTCTTGTTGTTATCATTGCCATATCCTCAGATCACTCAACTTATCTACTTCGTCTGTTATCTCTTTTTCTTCCCCCTTGCTTACACTACGGTCCTCTCTCACAATCTTCACTACCAATTAATAAACTAAATCAACTATATATTACTTAGTTCTGAAATTTCATTCATATTAGAATTAGAATTTTATCCTTATTATTCTCCGCATTGCAACTAACCGATCTCCGGGCTGGTTATGTGATAGCTGCCAGTATCCAGAAACCCTAATGCCCTGAAACAAACGTTTTCATTCTAATCCCGAGACATGCAAACTCAAAAACAACTGCCAACTGACTAGAATTAGATAGTCAAGTCGCTAGACCGCCTATAATTGAACACTACAAAGCACTTGGAACCGTACCGAAAGGACAAGAATCGAGCGCAAAGAAATCAATAAGTTTTTACTGGCTCGTGAAAAAGATATTGGATATTGGACATTTTCTATGGTTACATACCATAAATTTTTAAAATCAGGGTCATTGAGCGAAATAAATAATTTGTCAACTTTGCGCTTACTATAACCGATTTTTAAATCATTAAAAATGCATTTTAGCATGAGTAAAAATAATTGCAGTGTTTGGTAAAGGAATGTCCTCCTCATCATTCCCTACATTGCAACTAACTAATCTCCGCCCTGATTACTTGGTAGCTTCTGTTATCTGATGACTCTATTGCTCTGAAAACAAACGCATTCATTCAAATGAAGCGACACGGCGATTCACAATCAACTACGGACTGGCTTGAATTAGTTCCTTTGAGTGGCTTGACTATCATGTAAAATTCGGCACTTTGCACCTAAGTGGTTCGTATTTAAGCGATCTAATTTTCAAAAATTTTTCTGTCAATTATGTCTAATAACATGCTTACTCAAGTGAACAGCATTGTTCGCCTAAAATCCGAAAGTAAAAATGGGCTCAAGGAGAAAATTTTCTTTTGCAAACAACTTTTAGTGATTGTGTGCAGAAATGTTGTTAACATCTGAATTTCGGTCACATAACCTCATTATTGAGTATCTTTGTGGCGAAATTACTTAAACAGATTGATTCGTTTACACTCGCTTCTTGAAGTTGTGGCAAGATCACAAGTTTCTAGTTTCGCCCAGCGTTGGTAATCTAAATTCTTGACCGCACCAACTCACTAAAATGTGATAGCTTATTGATGCTTAATGTTTTTCGAGTAAACCAGAGTGAATTCGTTTTGGGATCATGTCTTCGCGAGTAAAAGCAGCTATCACGTACGTCGGAAGGACTACTAGTCGCTGCAATATAAAAGATAATAGAGTTAAAGAGTGGAGGCGCGAAAACTATATAACTGTCAAAATGGATTAACTTAGTTTACGAAAGCAATCTGTTCCCGGTGCACACTTTGCACCGGATACAACTGATTCAGGTGAAGAAAGCTAAGCAATGTGTGAGTGGGTGGTTATTAAACGTTCTCTTAAAGCTTCCCACTGAAAAGACTGTGATTAGGTCGTCTGAGAGAGTATTCTAGAAGGGGCCACCTTTTGATGAAAAGAAGTGTTTTTACCTAGATGTTGGTCATTTAGTTTGTGATATATAGTGGGTTGGATTTTTTAACTTCTATATTTCTGTCTACGTAATTATTACTAAGTTTAACGAGCTCTCAAACCCTGAAAATTATTCAGCTACGCTACTTACTTTTAGCACCTTTTATTTATTTAGCACACTTCACACAGTAAACAGTGTTTCTGTCATATTTTAGGCTACAAGAATAAATAAGGTAATTTGTGAGTATTCTAACCATTTGATAGTTTGTTACTTTTTGTTTCCAGTAGGCACTTATAGTCACGGCTCTATCAACGATATCCGTGCAGTACTTTTTGATAATCTAGTTCAAGTTGGGACAAAGTTTAGAAAAACCCTGAAATTTCAGAATACATGCTAACAATTCAGCCTACTGAGGATCAAACTCTAAAAAATGAACTCGACCAGAGCAATAGGTAACAGTATCTATCACATATTTCTAAGCTAACGTTAAAATACATAAGTGTTGCGGAGAATTCGTCAGAAATAATATATCTTGACACTGAATTAATAAGCTCAAGTTTGTGCTGTGTAAATGAAACAATCGATGGGTTATCATATGCTCCAGCTAAATTTATTTGCAATGACAAGTAAGATCTGCTGTCGTATTTATTCTATGTAGTCACTATAAACCTCATTTTTAAATGCATAACTATTTTAGTTTGCACATTACTTATGATGATATCAAAGTAATTTTAGATTGATTGTATATGAATATAAATACATACACACTTAAAGTGCTGTTAACGTCTTTAGTCTATGATTTATTTACTCTCTTATTGAGCTTTCATTTCTATCTTGATGACACCTTGAAAATCCAGGTGGCGATTCCCTCTGTGTGAACTTAAGTTTAAAAATATTCCTTTAAAAGTGCCTGTGTACTTGGCTCATTTGTTATAAATTTTAAAATATTAGCTGGATATTTTGTTGTTATTTTTAATTTTATATTACTTTATGACTTAAAATTTGTATGGGCTCAAATTCTGTAGGAGATTATACTAACTTTTTGTACTGAAGTTAAGAGATTGCTTGCCTTGTTTTTCTTTAGCGTGCGAATTTTCAAGGCACTATTTTCTATTATTCTTAACTATGAACTGAACGAATACCTAGCATTATATTTGAACTAGTGTTGCGTTTTCCGTGCACAGAGTTGTTAAAAATATCATTTTTTGTATCACCGCTCAACACATCTAAATAATGCAAACTTGCCTAATTAGAAGCGTATTAATACAAATAACTTAATTTTGTAAATCGTAAATTTCCATAATGAGATAGGTAATATCATGGTTATATTAAAATTCATGAGCTTTCTCTCTGATTGCCTGAAGGAATACTTTGTTTCTAAACTTTATTGCTTATTTGAAGATAATATTTCATATGCTTCTAGACACCAAGTTAAACGGTAGTGACTAAAAATGTTGGTTTGGGAGGAACTAGAGACATAGACATCATAGATTTTGACGAAGAATATTACCTTTTTAATGTCTGACACTTCCTTAATTGATAAAAGAAACTCATAAATAAGATATGTCAGAATAAAACATTCTAAGAGTTTTACGAAATTGGCTTAATGGAAGGTATTTTGTGCACACCTACACAAGAAAATTACGAAGTTTGCAGTATTAATGTAATGTCTTGAGTAGGACATCACTTTCCGTTTTTACCTCGTAACTAATAATTCTTTCACTAATTTCGCTTTTTTTCCTGACCAGTTGATTAGTGTTTGCTTTCTGTATTGGCGTAAAGTGCTGTAAGTTCATCTGATGTGTATTTTGTATAATATTTGGATCGTATATGATTGATCATTTGAATAGACTTTGATTTCAACTTAGCGATATAAGATTACCTCACTTCGACTTAACTTTTATTCTATATACATATCTTTTATGCACTGGTATACTACATAGTATCATACTTGGTAGAATATCTTAAATGAAAGTGTAATAATTACATTTTTTACAGATCGCTGACGAATATTGACTTGCTGAAACGGTTCATATTTTTGCGATATATTAACATTGGATTCAATCGTCTGACTAATTTAAGACCATTGTATGGTTTAATCAATCTCATTGTATTAAGAGCGTCACATAATGAAATAGAAGAATTTCCATGTGGAAACTGGCCCACGTTAACGCACTTGGACTTAAGCCATAATCGTATCAAAAAGCTGACAACCGTAAATTATCCAAGATTATTGGTTCTGTTCCTTGACTGTAAGTTTGGCCATGTTAAAATTTATTGATTACAAACATGAAGCAAATAATTCGAACGATTCCATTACTTCAACGCTATAACATCAAAGTTAGTCTAGGCATTGATACCAAATATGCTTAATCTATGTTCTTGGACCATATTTCCGCTATCAACACTATTACTTTCTAGATTTTATATGCTCATTATGATGAAAGCTCAGCTCTCCGCTTCCATAAATTTTTTTGTTAAAATCCAATTTCATATGCACAAAAGTGCTACACAATGTGATTTACTGAAAGTGATTTTTCGCAGTTTCCTGTACTTATTAGGACTTAATTTCTACTAAAAATATATTTGTCGAATACTTGTATAAGTTCACGGCATTAAAGTAAGTTACTTTCCTTTCTTGGATTGTTTTGAGGATAGTGAATTATCTATGCAGGTCAAGTATCCGTCCTTGTTAAGTGTTTAAACATCTAATCCCATAAAATGTTAAAATCTCAGTTAAAAATAATTGTATATTGATAACGTCTCTTTAACAACATGAATCCCATTTCACCTATTTTAGTTAAATCCATACCACTAGTCTTCTCAAACTTTATTTCCAAATAAACTTCATTCGCCTTACGGCCTAAGACATTCTTTATATGAACTGTTGTGCAGTTCTTCTGCGAACGATCAATTTCAGTGTGAAGCTTGAGATGCCTCAAAGTTTGATCTTATTAAAAGTTCTCATACTTTGCACTCGGGTTTGATTTTACCAAACACTAATCGCCTGATTTAGTCATAACTTTTCCTTTCCCTCCCTTGAAAAAATACGAAGATATAAGTTTTCCTAATCATCAAACGAAATGTAACCGGCAACATTACCGGCTCATAGATTATGCGATTAAAATGTTATTAAGACAAAATAATTTCTTAATCTTAATACGTGAAAATAAATGACCACTCATCATAAGCAATTTTATATTTCTGGGCACTCATGTAAATACAATTCACATATGAGCACGTGACCTTAATTCAATCAGGTATTTCCAAATACACTTTCAAGTTGCGTCAGCATCAATAGTAAACGCATCCATTTATCAATATATTGTTAACAGTTGTTTAGTGGCACGCGATCTCACTCCGATATTTACAAACAATTGAATATGCCACGAAATAAATCTTCCCCTTTTGTGCGACGGAGGTAGTAAGAAGCCGAATACGATTTGAGGAAAAATTTATTTCATATATTCGTTCACTCAGGCAGACATGACAATTAAAAATGTATAAGCATAGCGAAACGAAGTGGAGGAGGCGAGCGAACCAACTCCAGGTAGTGAGGTATGACTGGACATTCACAGCTACAAGAAAACAAGTCAGACATGTAGTAAACGAAGTAAGCAGTGCACACACATATTCGAATAAAAACGATTGAGATATGAACAAATAACTGACGAAGGTCAAAAGACGAGTGCATAATAACCCGGAAGAACAGATTGCTTAAATTTTCCAAAGGCTGAGACAAACCCTGTGCGATCGACATACACTACAGTTTCCAGAGAATAATTTACAACATGGAGAGATTTTAGTTAAATCGGAATATAGATTATGAATAAAATACTGAATAAATATTAGCAAAATTTTATGCCTTTCTGTGATCAATGTAGCCGTACTTTTTCGTAACCCGACCGTAGCTGCTACCTTGACGTGGTGGTCGGGCTTGCCTATCGTGATGACCCAACTGAGCTATACTGGTTGGAACACATGTTCCTGCAGGTCCTACCATGCCAGGCAGGTCGATTGGAGAACGATGAGACTAAAAGCAGCTACTCAAGGTCTGAGGGCAAAGTCGTACTGCTGACTGCAGAGGGGTGTGACAGCGGTAAGGTGTTTCCCTCGGACAACCAGCATGTGCAGCGATGCTGCCTTCTCACAAGAAAGGACGGGTTAGAAAAGGTCGGCCCTAAAAATGTCACACCTCCCCTACCTCACGGATTTCCGTCTCCTTGGGTAAGGGTGCCCACTAAGGGCCTTTAAGGACGGAGCTAATCCTCTGAAAACGTTTGATAAAAAGGCCGTGCGTGACTGGCCTCAAGCAGTCGTCCCTTGAACTCTGCGGTCACGCACCCAGGTCTGTAGGACCAACACTAATCCATCTTCCTTTTCAGGTTTCTCAAGAAACAACCTTAAACGGTGTGGGCAGCTGGGAAGTGATAACCGCCTTCATACCCGTAACAGCACGCGAGACCAAATCGGTCAAAATCAAATCCTTCCTACACCCTCTAATACCTCTCTCATCTCAACGACTAACTCTTCTCACATTCATTTATCACAGTGCACAGCTAATGCAGACGACACGAGTTCGCGAAACGTCGTTCCTGGTTTCCTTAAACCCCGTTCTAAACTACATGTTGGGGCACTTAATGTCCGGACATTGTGTCAAATAGGGCAACAGGCATCATTAGCTAGGACTTTAGAATCTCGTGCCATCGATGTATGCTGCGTCTCGGAAACGCGCATACAGGATCCTAGTAAAATTATTAATCTGATTTCACCTTGTCAAAATAAAGAAGCAGCTCGATTTACTCTTCGTGTATCCTGTAGTCCTGATGCTGCTTCCAGGCGTCTTGCTAGCGTAGGCATAGCGTTGAGTCGTAGAGCTGAACAATCTCTCCTTGACTGGATCCCAGTAGATAGTCGCTTGTGCGCTGTCGGACTGAACGGGACAGTGAGGACTCGGAAGGATAGGGACACTCGCCGTTGCCTCTTCGTCATATCTGCTTACACCCCCATTGACTGCAGTTCAAACGAGGTGGAAGATGAGTTTTACAGAAAGCTTTCGGACCTCCTCCAAAAAGCTAGGCTCTCTGATATAGTAATAATGGCTGGTGACTTTAATGCTCAAGCAGGTAGACTGAGTGAAAATGAAAGACACGCAGGTGGATGTTATGGTGTCGCGGCTCAGAGAACAGACAATGGTGACCGTCTGTTGCAAGCATGCTCAGCCAACCGCCCATTCTTAGCAAACACTAACTATAGGCATAAGGAAAAGCATCTGTTGACCTGGCGACCTCCGAAGTCGTCTCAACGTTGGACGCAACTAGATCACATTGCCATCAGCCACCGATGGAGGGGTTCGATAGAAGACTGTCGCACGTTGTAAGGCACATGTCTAGATTCAGATCATGCCCTAGTGCAAGCTCGTATTTGTTTGAAGCTTACTGGGCGTAGGAAAGACACCGTAAGGAAGCCTCTTAGCGTTTTACTTAATGATAATAGGGCGAAGAATATATTTCAGGAACAACTAGAAACACAGTTAGGCGACCATGCAAGTGATTCCCATCCGGTGGCAGGTTAGAATGATATCAAAAAGGCTGTGGAAACAGCAGTGATATCTGTTAGTAAGGTTGGCCATAAGGCTAGAATGAAGCCGTGGATCTCAGTTGCATCCACCGATCAGATGGATGCCCGAAAACTCATCCCACCTGGCTATGAACATGATGAAGAACGAAGTCAACTTAGGCGCAGACTCATAAAAAGCCTACGTAACGATCGCGAACAGTGGTGGGTGGCGAAAGGAAAAGCGATGGAAAAGGCAGAGGCGATCGGCAACAGTAGACAACCTTTCCGACTTACCAAGGAAACTGGTATTAGGAATCCTAGTGTAAGTGAGACTATCTTAGAAAATGACTGGACTATTATCTATTCTCAGTCCAGGAGACTAGATCGATGGGCAGAACACTTAAGGGATCAGTTCAACTGACCTCGAGCCACTCTTCAGTTACCCACGATCTCCAGTCATCCTGAATGGCAAGTCGACGTAAGCCCACCTAGTCTTAATGAAATTGATAAAGCGTTAGGAAATCTGAAGCGAGGAGAAGAAGCGGGTCTCGATAGATTGACCTCTGAGATTTTCGAGGATAGTGGTCCAGTTTCATCAGCTAGGTTGACTGAGATCTTAGGTAGAATATGGGAACTCGACACAATCCCATCCGACTGGTCTCAATCACTGATTGTCCCAATTTATAAGAAAGGACAAAAGACTTCTTGTGACACTCACAGAGGAATAAGTCCAACTAATATAGTTTCTAAATTGTTAGCCTCGACTATACTTAGACGCCTTACTAGTGCTCGTGAAGATCAGACTAGGGGAAACCAGTCTGGTTTTCGACCTGGACGTGGTTGTATAGACCACATCTTCACACTACGACAGGTCCTGGAACATAAACACTCATTTAGGTGTCATACAATAGTTGTTTTCATGGACCTTAGGGCGGCATTTGACTCTGTGGATCGTGAGGTTCTGTGACAGTGTCTGTCATTGAAAGGTGTACCAAATAAGTACATTAACCTTATACAAGCTCTCTACTCGAACACCACTGGTCGAGTGAGAGCTTATGGCTAACTGTCAATGGAATTGTTTACTTCAAGTGGTGTGCGTCAGGGATGTCCACTCTCTCCATTCTTGTTTAATTTTATCATAGAGATGCTCCTAGAAATAACCTTATCCTCGTCTGAATTTTCAGGAGTAGACCTTCTACCTGCTGGCTCGCTTATTGACTTAGAATATGCCGATGACATAGTCCTACATGGTGAAGAAGCTGACAAAATGCAGAGTCTTCTGACTACCCTAAGCAACAATGCGAGCATGTTCAGGATGCGGTTTTCCCCCTGTAAATGCAAAAGGTTGCTTCAAGATTGGGTTTCATCGGCACCTGAACTAGTGATAGGGAGTGAAGTAGTCGAACGTGTAGAGCGCTTCACTTATCTTGGGAGTCTCATCATTGCCGATAGCCTGGTGACTGACGAAATCTCAACACGGATACAGAAGGCTCGATTGGCTTTTGCCAACCTGCGTCACTTATGGCGTAGGCGAGATATCCGTTTGCTGACTAAAAGACGAGTGTACTGCGGAGTAGTTCGCTCCGTCTTACTTTATGGCTGTGAAACATGGCCAGTGAGAGTAGAAGATATTCGTAGGTTACTGGTTTCCGATCATAGGTGTCTTCGAAGCATTATTTGTATATCCTGGGAC